TTTTATTTTATAAATCTTAAGCAATTCTTAACTCTCTCTTTTATGAACAGATATAGTATTGAATATCTTTCCAATATCACTCCAAATTTTCTCATCCATAGATTAACAACTTCAAAAAAAAATATTACACAAAAAAAAAAAAAATTGTAATTGGATTTGAAAAGTCACTAATGCCCTTAGACGTTCAATAACCCACTAAATACAAGAAGAATTTGACAAAGAAATATGGTCATCCAAGTATCTTTCTTTTCTTTTTGTATATTAAATTTAGATATATTGACTTAACTATTAACCTACAATCGTAGCACGACTGTGTATAGGTTTTGTGTAGAGAAATAATGCACATCCAATTATACTCGAGAAAGAAGTGGATCCCAACGACACTCGGGTTTTAAATCTCATTAGTCTTGATAATCATAGTCATATTGTATGTGTTTGCATTTTTGATGATGTCGTTTGTTGAATCATTTTAAAATGTTCAAACATATTTTATTTCATTTTTATTGTGATTGATAATATTAATGGGTAAATTATTGTTATACTTGCATTTAAATGTATTTTGGAAAATAAGGTGGACTAATAATGAAAATAAAAGATTACTCAAAGCTTAGAACTATATTAGGTGTATTAAAAACTAAAGTAAATGAAAAGGAAGTAAATTAAAAATAACAATAGAAATATAACGTAATTTTGTATTTATTTTCAGTAAACTACGAATTTATGATTGGTTATGAATTGTTCCACTATTCTTTGCGGCGGAAAAATAATTAAATCAATATTAGAATTGTCCACCTAGATATATAAATAAAGTATATAGACTTAAAATATTTATAAAAGTTAAAATAGATTTAAGTTATTTTAACTTCAATAAATTTTCAATAGAAATAAACACCTCTATACTCTTTAATTTTTAAAAAAAATTTTTATATCAAATTTTTATAAAATAAAAAGAAAGTTGCTTTAAATATTAATAAAAAATTTAAGATATTATTTACCACGTTTAAAAAAATATTGAAGTAAAATTAGAAAGTTTAAAAATAATTTATAATCTTAAGAAGGTTTAAAAAAAATCATTAAATTCACAAGGTGTTAAATGGTTTTTTTTAGAAAAAATAAAATAAAATACTAAGTTGAAAATTAATGATGAAACTTTTTAATTTTTAAGATATTTTTGAAAAAAATTGAAAAGCATTATTAAAACTTATAAAAAATTAAAAATATTTTCGGAACAAATTGCAAAACTTATATATTTTTATGATTTAACCCTTTTTAAATAATAATTTACCGTTCACTCGCCGTCTCCATTCCCCACTTTCCGTCATCGTTCGCCGCCTCACAGTCGTCAAAGGAAATAGGGCTTAGTCCAGACCTATGGGTTCCATCGCCGTCACGAACGAACGCCTGCCGCATTAGACTTTTCCCTCTCCTTCGTCATTTCTCAATCCGCCGTCGTAATACAGAAGACTTTTCATAGCCATAGCCGATTTCACAATTTGCAGAAGACTTGTCTTAATTTTGGATAAAGCTTAAAGATTCAGTCACGTGCCGTCAGCTACCGCTTCCAAACAATTTTCCACTTCAGTCACGTGCTTCAATCCCACGTGGCCCACTTCGACTGACTAACATCCATTCCAAACCAGTCGGCCTAATTGGACAGACTAATAACACCCACTGAGTCCATTGACACGTGGGTTAGAGTAATCCGTGGGTCTTATTAGCTCACTAACATCTGCCACGCATTTAACGATGTGTAATCGACACGTGGAACAATAGAAATCTGCCACGAGTGTAAGAGTATGGAAAGGCTGAGGGCCGGCGTCCACGAATACAGACTGAGTCAAACAGCTCAGGGCCAGAAAATTTTAGACGAGTTTGACTATTGAATTTTTCTTATTTAATTAAAAAATAAAAGACCGTTTAATTAAAACTATTATTTTAAATATATAAATTCAAGATAAACCCCACCTAGAAGTCTCGACAATTTCTCAGGATTGGCTTCGAGAAGCACTCACGTGCACCGGCGCGTGTTGAGCAAGCATTGATCATCCATTGAATATTTTAAAACTATATGCTAAATTCATAAGCATCAACGTCCACAACAACTATATACAAATTCAATTAAGAGTTTAATTCAAAAATATTTTTATATTAATTTGGTCACTAATACTTTAAAATGTTTAATATCTCTGGTTTATTTATTTTTAAATAATTAATTTATGAAATATAAATTTAAAATTGATACGCTTAACTTTAAGTCCAATAAATTCATGAATTAAAGAAAAAATAAAAAAAAAAATCTAATTATATTAACTATTAAAAACAAAATTTAAAGTTATTTCTAATTTAGGATTTCAATTAATTTGATAAATATACGGTAAAAAGAAGAGATTTTTCCATTTTTAAGAAAAGTCGTTGGCTGCACGGACCCGGTAAGAGCGTGAAGCCGGATCCTTTCAAATATTCATGCATGTTGCATTGTATTTGCATCACGCATCCAACCATTTCAAAAAGAAAGAAAGGAGTAATAAAATTTTAAAAAAGAATATTGAGAGAACCACTATAAATACTACTTCCCCTTCGCACTTCCATTTCATTCAATTCATCTTTCCAAAATCAAATCCAAGCAAAAAAGGCAACACTATGTGCGCAGTTGCAGTGCCGACGACGACGACGATGACTCCATTATTCTCACCTCCAAAAGTTGCTTCACCATTCTACAAGTCGTACTCTCTGAATTATTCTTCTCCTTCTTATTCTTCTTTGTCGAGATCCGTATCCAGTCCGCCGTCTGTTTCGTCATTGCCTGATGTTGATACTGTTTTGAAGAGGAAGAGGCCGGCGAGAATTGACGTGCCGACGATTGTGCCGTCCATCGGTTTTGGATTTGGAACATTCGAGACGCCGGAGGTGATGGAGGAGGAAGGAGAAGGATATTCGGTTTATTGTAAAAGAGGAAGAAGACGGAGCGCCATGGAGGATCGATTCTCAGCCACAGTTGGAATTCAAGGAGATTCTCGGCAGGTACTTGAAATTTAGGTCTCAAACTGCAGCTTCTTCGCTCCGTTTGATTTCAAAATCAACACACCGAAGATTTTATTCAATTTGATATACTAAATGAACTTACAGGCTTTCTTCGGAATTTTCGATGGACACGGAGGAGCACAAGTGGCGGAAATCGCAGCGAAAAGAATGAGCGAGAATGTGATCGATCAAGTAACGAGAAGAACCGAATCGGAGCTCGAGGAAGCAATCAAAGACGGCTATCTGACGACCGATCGGGAAGTATCGGAGGAAGGAGTCAGCGGCGGTGCCTGTTCCGCCACCGCATTGATACGGAACGGACATCTCGCAGTCTCGAACGTCGGCGATTGTCGCGCCGTGTTGAGTCGAAAGGGAAAAGCGGAAGCCCTAACCTCCGATCACCGGGCGTGTAGAGAAGACGAGAGAAATCGGATCGAAAAATCGGTAAGAAACGGAATCTCGTCGTTCATGGATCTCGATCAAATCGAAGCGTTTGGTTTGGCAAATGATTAATTGGAAGAATTTGTTGTTAATATCTACATATTTGTTCTATCCAGGGCGGTTATGTAGACTGTTGCCGTGGGGCATGGAGAGTTCAAGGAACACTGGCTGTATCTCGAGCCATTGGAGACAAGCATCTGAAACAGTGGGTGATATCAGAGCCGGAGACGAGAGTAGTGAAGATCGAGGATGATTGCGATTACTTAATTCTTGCTTCTGATGGTCTTTGGGACAAGGTGAATTTCGTTTCGTTTCAACAACTCTCATCCTCCTAAATAATTTTTTTTCAAAATGTAACAAATTATAGCTTTATTCAACCCTGTATTGAAATTGAGGATGATGAATTAGGAGTTTTGCTATAGGATGTTGAATTTGGTTCATTATATTTTCACAGATTACGAATCAGGAAGCAGTAGACGTAGTGGAGGCAGCGTGCGGCGTGGAGATCATGGAGAATAAAAAACCAAATCCGCTATTAATGTCGGCCTGCAAACAGTTGGCGGCCTTGTCAGCATCAAGAGGCTCAGTCGACGATACCACTGTTATGATCATCAAATTAAATTGCCTTCATTTGAACTAATTAAGGAAAAGAAAAAAAAAAGGGAGGGGGGAAGTTGATTTTAAAAAAATAAACAGATAATATATAAGTTGTGCAAATGGCCTTTTGTCTTCCTATCATATATCTTAAATATGATGTTGGCAGATTAATTAGTTGGGTCATCCCTTTAATTCATCATTCATTAATTCTTTCAAAAGAAACGTTTAATTTTCTTCTCTTCAAGAACCAATTGATACATTGTAATAGTGAATTTGACTGCATAATGATTCAATATCATTGATTTGATAGTAGTTTTTGTGCCAAGGTGAAAAAATATCAATTATCACTCTTACAATTAATGGTTCAATCTTCCACTAAAATCATAAACAAAAAACCATAAAATAGGAGTGTGGTTTACCTGAAACCATGAAATAGGAGTGTGGTTTGCATATTTTTACTAGTGGAGTAGGGTTGACTTAATCCATAGGTTACATCTTTTGCTCCATACTAGAATCGGCAAGGAATACAATTTTTTTATTTGAAAATTGCACCCCCAAGAAGCGTAGATTTATGGTGTATTTCTACTAAGAGAGAGGGGTAAAGAAGATAAAGAAGAGTCGTTTATTTGAATTATGGATATTAAGAGAATATTTTGTTTTTATAAACTTTAGATTCATTGTATTTTAATATCTGTGTTCTCATTTTATTTTTAAAATTTTAAGGGATAAGCTGTTCATCATTTGTACCGTCAACTTCTTCCCATATATTTTCATTTTAATAAATCCTAATTAACACAAAATTTACAAATTTAGTTGTATACCACATCTTTGTTCAAATGGAAGTTCAGCAGTTTACAAGTAAAATTTGAATGGGGAATGGAGGAGTAAGTGAAGAGACCAAAGATGATTAAAATAATATGATGATTTTATTTCATTAGTCGTTCTTTTTTTTACAATTACAATTAAAAGTAAACTAAACTGTGTTACGATTTCCATGGAAATGGTTAATATGATATGATGATGATTTTATTTATTTAGTCGTTTTTTTTTTTCTTATTCTATTGGTTAGAGGCGTTAAAAACCTGTGCTGCGGAGCCGCATCGATGAACAGGAAGGGCACCGAATCAAGCCGTTGATGTTGCAAGCATTGCACGTTCTGAATCCACATTTCTCGACGTAGATCTTATGGCTTCCATCGCATTCTTCGCAAACAATGAATCCAATCCCTCCGCATACCTCGCAAAGCAACGAAACCGCTTCCGGAAGCCGTTCGATCAGTCTCTTCAACTCCCCGCTCTCATTCAGCAGCTTAATTTCCTCCACTCCGCCGATATATCGACCGCCGATGAAGACTCTAGGTAAACTGATATTCTTCCGTCCGATCGCGTCCTGCAACTCGTTGACCAATTTCGAGTCCATCGAGAGGTCGCGCTCGTCGATCGAGACGCGGAAGCCTCTGAGGATGGATCGGACGGTTCGGCAGTCCTCGAAGGTACGGCGGACGACGCGGAGAGAGGTGTGGTAAACGACGATTCGGTGCTCGGAGTCCGGAAGCTGTAGAAGACGGTGCGACCAGGAGCGGAGGACGGAGGTGTAGAGGCGGACGCGGTGGAAAATGGAAGGCTTCTTGGGAGTGTTGGGAGGAGAGTCGGTTCCGGAATCGGAATCTTCACGGCAGAGGTCTTGAACATCTTTGAAGGAGGAGCAGGAGAAGTGGCCAGAACGAGATTTCGCCAGAGGTTGGACTGTGGTCGGCGATCTCAGCCATTGAGACCACATGAGAGAGAAGTACAGAATAGCCCACATGAGAGAGAAATACAGAACGGACAGCACGTTTCTGAGGGGACAATGAGTTTGGGGAGAGAGTTTCAATATTTAAAGGAAATTTTTTCAAATTAGGAAAAAAGAAAAAACCCTAAATAAGCAATTTGGGAATTTTGACCTTTTATTTTATTTTATTTTAATTATGGCTTTTAGGTCGAAAATTTCACCTTGCTAAATAAATCCCAACCTTTAAAAAGTATTACTTCTAATAAATATATAAACCAAGTAATAAAAATTTAAAATATTTAAAAAAATACTTAATTTTCAATTTTTTATTTGCTAAATCCCACAAAGCATAATTCACAAATATAACTACTTTCTAAAAAATTACATTATAATTTTAAAAAATATATAAAAAAATATGAGTTACCATTTTAGTTATTAGGTAACAAAAATGGCAAAACTGATTTTATGGAGTGGAATTTAGTGAAAATTTTGGGGTAGATTTATGCTAAATTTCATATTGATTCGATTAATATTAAAATACGTATCAATTTGTACTTAATAAAATAAATAAAAATAAATAAAAGATCACCTCAATCTATAATTTTATAAATGAAGTAAAAATTATATTAAGAAAACAAATTATAAAACATACTTTTAATAATATGATGCATTTAAATGCGATCTAGTTTATATATATATATATATATTATAACTACTAAATTTGTAAAAATTGAAAGATTTATTTATGATTGTTTTAATTTTAATCGGATTGATGTTATATTTTTATAATAGGCAACTAAAACTTCATGCACGTGAATCAATATGATATTTATTTATAATTTAACATTTGGATAACGAATTAGTTGTTGGGTTCAAGTGATTACCAAAATTGCTTATATATAAGTATTAACGGTCTAGATAGAAAAATAAGAAAAATCATAGTGACATTTACAATATAAGAATATAGTTATTAATATATTGACATGAATGAGGTTAACGTTTGAACTTTCAAATCCAATATTGTCTTTACTATTCACGTATTTGTTGCTAGAAAAAAAATATAATAATAATACTTGCCATTCTAAACATAACATTACAAATATTATCAAGAGAAAAAAAAAATTCAATAATTTAACTACAAAAACTATAAAGGTTACAAAAAGTAGCATATACACGAATAGGTTATTACCATGATTATGGCCAATGAATATTGAATTACAACAATCAATATAATAATTACTAAAATGAAGAATTAAGACTGATTTTAATAATTTTCCTAAAATGTTAAATTCATATTTATTTTGAATTACAAAGTATAGATCAACTATTAAAAATTGTGCTCAATTGACAAGGTTTAAGACTCATTTCAGTAAGCATTTTTTATTTATTTAAAAAAAGCACTCATGAAAAAAAATAAAATAAATAAACTTCATGAATGTAAAAGTCAAATTTATGTTAAGAGGGATTGGGCAAAAGATAAATAGGGAGACAGAGAGAGGTGAACTGGGAGTAACGAATATTTCCCTTTTGCATAAGTAGGAACTAAATTGCAATAGGGACTTATCTGTTCAACAGATTTGAATTCTTAGGAATTAGTTTATAAGGAAAGTAATTAGAACTCGAAGAAATTAGCATTTAAAGTATGCATGCACATGCACCTCATAATATGTCGTCATTATCAAAAATAAAAAATAAAAGTGGAGAATAAAACGAGTTATCATTAGTTAGAAAGGTATCCCAACTAAAATTTCTTCAATCCTATTATCTTTTTTTATTCTTTCTTTTATCTTTCTTAAAAAAAATATATATGAAATTATATTAACGAGATGACATTTAACTTTTTGGTTGTCTTAACTAGATTAGCTATACTCCTGTAATATTTTCATATTTTCTTATTTTCTAAATGAGGAATCAAATATTTAATTTCTTATAACAATGTAAGTTTTAAATGCTAATCAGTGGTTCCCACTGTTTTTAGTTTTTAAATGTTGAATAAAACTTTCTGTATATGAATAGTTTATTGCTAATCAGTGGTTCCCACTGTTTTTAGTGTTTCAAATGTTGAATAAAACTTTCTGTATATGAAGAGTTTATATGAAATACAAAACAAATTAAATTAATTAACCGTTAATTAAAAATCTGAACTTTTAAAACTAAAAATCTAGAAAAACTAATCTGTTACCGATCAGGGTTGAGATGCATATAACTCTAAAAATACCACACCTTATAATCTAAGTAGAACGGAGTAATGTAAAATAGAATTAATGTGACATTAATCTAATCTATTGAGATGCATCCTAGATTTGGCAGTGAGAAAGAAATTAAAGCAATGGCAGTAGATTTCATTGCACTAGCTAGGAAAGGATAAATGGAAAACAAGATGTTATTCTAGTAAAAATTATATTGGCAGAACGTGTGTGTGATAGTGGTTCGAGTAAGTTTAAGATACTGACCTCAGTTGTGTCACATTTTTGTTCCTTTTGAGATGAAAATGTCTCCAAAAGGAACTTGTTGATTGACTTTTAAGTAATCACTTGAAGCTAGAACTGTATAAGAAAGGATAAAGTCATTTTAGATTAATTTCTTATTGTTATACCAGGTAAATAGTATTAAATTATCATTTTTTTTAAGTTCATGCTCTTAAAAAATTATTTTTTCTAATCATATATTGAACTTACAAAAACTGTTCAGAAATTTGTTAAAATTTGGCAACCATAGAGACATTTTAAGAGATTTAACGTAATTCGTGAGACCAAATTGATGATTTAACCCAACGAGAAAAAAGACTTGGGACCTTATACAAATAACAAGAGCAGCACAAAGCAAAATTGGAGGAATTTTGTGAATGAAAAGATACCGCAAGTCTGGTAGAAGAGCATAGCAGCTGCTTTGGGGTTCATTCCAGCGGCCAAGTTGTTTAAAGATTCTGCTGGCGGGGCTCCTGGCGTATTAAAATGTGCCTTCATTTGCCTTAGCATTCAAATGGGCAAGAAGGAAAGAAGGATTTTGTTATCATTTAGCAATCAATGATGAAACAACTAAAACACACGCTTCAGAGCAAAAAAAAAGAAAAAAATAAAAAGAGGATTTACATGCGAATGGAATTAGTTATCTTGTCAGCAGGAGGATTCTTGATGGCGGGCTGGGTAACTTGAGTTTGTGTCGGTGCAGTTTCTACCAATAAATCTGTGAAAGCAACTTATAAATTCTAGTGTAGATTTCAACTAGATAGAGAAATTAGCCCACGGTGATTGTGCAGGCTATAGATAGATTAGCGTTTTACTTACCTGGATCATTTTCAGACAACCTCGCTAACTTGAAGTTTGGATCAGAGTGATGCCATGGATTCTCCTCAGCTACAGGTTCGAGGCCTCCGCTACTTTGTCTTGATGAATAATAAGGCCTTTTCTTGTTGGATCTATTGATCGTTAATACGTCAGTCATAGTGTTATTGTCCTAAACACAAAATAAATTATTGTCTTGGGTTCAAAAGGGAATATCTGTAAGCATTTATACTACTAACCGTACAGAATTGGTCTCTGGATTATATACAAACACACCATGTTCAGATGCTGAGCTGGAAACTGACCTCACTCCAATTCCTATTTATTCAGATGGACAACAATTATTTGAACAAGTTATAGTCATCTCAGAGTCCTTACCATGGAGATGGAATGAAGTGTCAACTGTTTTAGCTTAGATGAGGAAAACGGACCGGAATTTCCAGGTGTAACCACTTGATTTCTTTCAGCCATCCCCATAACATTGTTCATGAAGTCCGGTCTGAGTTCTTCCAGAAGGATCTCGGCGTGAATATCATCGTTGACTGGTTTGGTCCTTAGCTTCTCTATGGAAGCTCCAAATGACTGAGAACCAACTCCACTGTATTGATTTTCATAAGCCTTCATAATTCGCATCAAGAATTTGTAAGAGAGAAGATTGTATTCGTCCAACACTTGAAATAAATCTGTTGAAGTTCGTTAACGGCTTACAAAATCCATGTGATCTGGAAAGTTTACTCTCTCTGGCAGTGAAGACAGTGATGGTTCAGGAGGTAAGGGTGCAGAGTTCCTCACTGCAGAAAATAAATGATCAAATTTCCTTTTCCCCAAATCTATACTTTTAATGGAAATGTCGAGTTACGGATAATATTAACCAGAAGGTGAGTCAGGGGGGTTTCGGATACTTTTCATCCATAACTCTAGCAGAGGAGCTGGATAATAGACTTCTCTACTTCCATCTGTGAATAAGCGACCACTTAACACCACAGGAGGAAGATCCATGAGAGTGGCTATCTTCATAGAGGACATTGCACCTGTCCGCTGTTACAAAGGAATATGAAGCTTTCTTAATTACTAACTTGTTTGTAGTTTTTGTTATTTTGTGGAGAATCAATCTTATCACAGACATCACTCTGTCGATCAAAATAAGTACCTAAGATATACCTTGTAATCAATATTCACGCGCACTTTTACTTGCGCGCAAAATTTTCTTGATAATAAATTATTAGTGTTCAGGAGTGTACTCATTATCTAAATCAAGTAACATAGAAAATTAGGTAAATTGAGAACTGCATGTTGGAGACTAAGAACCTTTCTCTTTTTTCCCCTTCTAGAGATTAGATCCGAAACATCTTTCAGCCAAGATTGGTATATGTGTCCAGGAATGATGGTTTTTTCATAGTCCATCAGAAAGGCTGCTGTTCTTTTTGTTTTCCTTTTTATTGCCACCTGCTCCACCTGGTGTTAAATGGATACACTTCATTGTCTAGTTAAGCCTGAATTGTGTAATTAATCTATTCTTTATTGATCATACTCGAAGAATACCTGTCTGAGCTCCTTGGATTCGTAGGCTTGCTGAATGACATCGCGTTCAAGATGTTGGTCCTGGACTTCAGCCTCAGGAGACCCTAGAGGTAAGAAAATGCATAAAAGCATGAAATTTCTTCTAAAGTTGACATTCAGAGATGAAAGTTATTTTGGAATGCAGTAGCAAGTTAAATCGAGTTGTGAGATGTTAGGAACAATGTTAGGAACAATGAGCCTCGTAGTGGTATGACATTATCCAATTGTACAAGTTCTCATGATTTTGCTTTTGGTTTCTCAAAAGACCTCAATATCAATGGACATAGTTTGAGACTCCAATAATCTTTCCTGAGACCTTCTTCTCTGGAGCCTTCAAACAGCTTTTTCTTAATCAAGAATTTGTACATTCTTTATTTGGCACATAGTTGCTTTGGGTACAATTTCAAGATTAATACATTCTTTATTTGGCACATAGTTGCTTTGGGTACAATTTCAAGATTAACTTTTATATTCGACACTTGAGGATCCTATTGATATAGATAAGTTAAGAGCATGACTTTGATATTCTTAAGGTTTTGTTTTTAATTTCCCAAAAAGGTCTCACACCACAAGAGATATCCTTTGGTAATCTTCCTCTCCCTTCTGAAAAAAAAATAAAAATCAATGGAGTAGTCTGTTTTAGCAAGAGGCTACTAAGCACCAAGTTTCCATCGACCAGTCTGATCTTCTCTTCATGGAAAAAAGAGAAGAGTGGAGGTTATTTATAATTTTCTTTCCCTCAAGCATGAGTTTGGAACAGCTTCTCATTTCTAGGATGTAGTGAAAAGAAAAAACAAGTAGATGAAGCGTTCACATGGTCATATTTATTTCACTCCTCCCAAACTCAATAAATACTTTTGAATGCACCAACTCAAAAATAGAGACCACTAAATGATGGGGACGAGAAGATTGAACTTAAAAACTGCATTTTCTTATAATTTATGAATTATGAATATGGTATTACATATATGATGCAGTTGATGACGTATTAAGTACCAAACCATGATAATGTATCTTACCTTCTTGATATTTGTCTTGAGGAGGGGAAGGTCCAAAAGTATCTGGAATTTTTGTTTGATCTACAGAAGCAAAATTCGACTGTGTATCCTCATCATCTTCAATATCAAATCTACAAATCCAGCACAAAAAATTGATGTTGTTGCTTCCTTTTTTACCATTTCAGCTCAGAGGGATTTCAAATAGCGATTTGAATTATCACTACGGTGCAAGTGAAGCATCACGATTTGGAAATAGCGTGTGTTTTCGAGCTCCAATAAACACAAAAACCTTGCCGGCTCAATTTTTTGAGAAAGAGAAGGTGGAAAAGAAATTGGATAGATAACGCAAAGTTCTGTCCATGCAAGTTAAGAATTCACCTTTCAAACCGATTGAATGTATTTGTATTTGATTGATACATATCAAAACGCTCGAGTAAGGTTATATTTTCAGCATCAGCTGAGCAAGAGAACAACCAAGATCATTAGTAGTTAGAACGCATCATGAATTAAATAGTTATGCTGAAATTAAGTGAGAGAGTTCAAGGGACAGATTAAGACTTTGATGGAAGTTATGTGACGCATCATCTTCCACTGTTTTCTCGTGGATATATGGTTCATCCACACTGTCAAGCCGCTGCAAACGTAGAAAGACCTACCAATCAATAATTGGTAATTGAAAAACAAAAAGTTAACCCCCAAAAGAAAAGCTACCAAACTTCCATAATTTGTTTCAAAGAACATAAAAATAGTATGATATTACCAAAATAAATCAGTTCCCTTCGAAACCCGTATCCAGTGTTCTATACGCGTCTATCTGATAGATCAATCTTCGATAACCTTTTGGGATTCAACTCTCCCAAGTCCATTTTTACCGTGCTAGGGAATGGCATGGAACGTATATCTAGATGGAACTACTGAATTTCTATAAACTGTTGAACCCAAGAAAAGGGCATTCTCTTCTACGGCTTACCATAGTAAAAAATGCGGTTTGTTGGAACTTCATTGGAGAGGTGTCGTAGGAGAAGTTAATGGACTGTGCCTCATGATCTCCCACGTCTTTCGGATCCTTTTTAGGCCGAGTAGCAGCCTCCTTCCTGAGTACATGTGGACATACATAAATCGTAACCATATAATTCAGAATCAATATCGCCTTCTTAACCGGCCATATATGTGGACATATGATAATATAATCAAACAAATCCAGAGCCAAATCACCATCTTAACTCACAAATCGTCTTACTTTTAACTGTGAACATATGAAAATCATCACCAAATAAATTCAGAGTCAAAATCACATTCTTAGCCTTCCCCAATCTCATCTTACATTTTGGGCAGTGAGTATGAAGCACATAATAAGAAAAATTACAAAAACGACTTGATTATTTTGGACTGTGGACGCACGAAAATCATAAACAGACAAATTCAGGGTCGAAATCATCTCCATAACCCGCCCCTACCTCATCATACTTTGGGACTATGGACACGTGAAAATCAAAACATTACAAATTCCGAGCCAAAATCACCATCTTATTCCGCACGGGATCCCTCTTATTTTGGACCCGGAAGTAACCCGGTCCATTATTCAAGTTATTAATATTCTCTAGTGCACACGCATTCTTTTTCGAAGTAAATGAATAATTAGATGATTATGCATTTCTATTTGGAGAAGGAGAGTAGTGACGTACTTGGCCACAGATTTTCCTTTGGGAATGACGGTGGCCTCTGGAGCTGCTTTCACCTTCCACGCTTCGTTTATCTCAACCTGAGAAAATCCATTTCGGAGAACGAAGCCAATCAACATATTCATTAAAATAAGAGAACGAAAACGCAAACGTCACTCTATTGATAGAACTCAGACTTGAGTAATTACCAGAAGCCGAGTTACATCCTCTGTGATTAAAAAAGAAAAAAAGTACGCAGTCCTTCAGAGATAGCATTTAAACCTAAAATCAATATATTCCTTCATAAAAAGTGATTATAAGATTACCGTAAAGAATTTTAACTTTTCGTTCATAGACAATGACAACACCGCCTGAGAAAAATGAAGCAGAGAGACACTACTCTGTTACTAAGATGAAAAACAGAGCGTTAAAATTCTGAAAAAATCGAAGATATTGAAAGACGATTACCCATGAGAATCCCTGAGAGTCTGAGAGCCATTGGAACCGAAGGATTCAAAATCTCCTCACTGCAAAATACCGCACAAAAATCAAACTAAACAAACACTAACAAATTGAAGAAACTTACCTCCATTTGTTTTTCCATTACCAAATTTTGATTATGTTCAGCTTATCGAGCTTTCTCCTATTGATCTTTGCGTGCATTGTTGCAGCCATCCTTAGTAAATTAGATACACAAAATGACAGAAACATCAAAATACACAAAATACAATTCATCTGATCATCAATTCAGGAAGCGGACTGTGAAAGCAGGATACATCAACAACATCCACATCTCCTCCAAAGTAACTTAAATAACAAGAAACAAAGAGCGAAATGGATAGTTTCACAAACAAACAGCCATTGATAAACTTATTCAGATTCATAAAGGCATTGAAAGTCGTTTTACCAAATTTGGCCGAGAGGAGCCTTGCGAGCCAGAAGCTGATGCGAGTAAAACATTGTCGATCAACTCCTCTTAGCTTCTGTTGGAACTCGAAACTCATCAACCAGAAGATCGGAGGAAGAAGAAGAAGAAGAAGCAATGTGTAGTTTCGTTAACTTCGGCCAATCACAAACTAAATGTGCCCGCCATTGCTACTAAGCTACATGCACGGACGACGCCAAGGGCGATAAACTTACCTGGAAGGCATGAGAATTTCCGTGCTACGGAAAATTAAAACCATGGTAGTTTGAAACGTTGGAAAACGAAGTTTACGTGAAACTATGGGTGAGATTACCACTACTAGATGCTTCCGTTGTTTTTTCTTAACCCGGAATTTATAATAATCGAACAATATATAAAATAGTTGCCCCAAAATTTTAACATTTAAGCTATATGATCCATTTCGAAAAGATCGATTTTAAACTATTTGTTGGCAACTTATAGCTATTATCTTTTATCTCTTTTGAAATTAGTTTAAAATCACCCAAATATAATTATCATTCTCCTAATATCTCATCGAAATAAAAAATTAAAAAAATCACTTCATTCCTTATACATATATATTAGAGACACGTATAAGTAAAAAGGTGAAAAATTACTAACTTACATAGTTCGAGGTTTAATGGAATAGTCATCTATTAAATATGTATAAAAAATTGACGATAAATTTGAATATATGAAAAATTATTGAATGAGATTAGACGTGGATTAAAAAATCTGCATATCTTATAATAATCATTTTAAGAAGACGTACGCCGTCTTCAAATATTTTTTCTCACTATAGAGAATTCAACTCGAACAACATAACCATTCAAATTTTTTTATTCATTTCGAGCGCAAAGAATCTCGAAAAAAATAGAGATACCTTTTTGAGTGATAGGTTCATCATTCCAACCAACGCCCCGCTACGTTGTTACATACTCCAACTCCAAGAGATGAACCTCAGATACAATTATATATCTCTCATGTTTGTTCTATGTATTTTCTTTTACAATTGAAAAGGAGTGAAGTATGTAAACAAAGACAAAACAAAACTATGCCAAAGAATTAAATTTATCAAACCAACTGTTTCTCACTTGGTATGAGGGGCTGTTGGCCGCCAAAATCCCTTCTTTCCAACAAGAAACTGATCTTGATAAACAGAAACGGACAAGTGAAGTGAATGAAAGATAGGACCAAGCTCCTTTATTACCTCCATGCTGTCCTGAATCAAAACATATCCGCCTGGCCTCAATATTCTATCCATCTCCACGACCATAGCTACCACGTCGCATCTACAAACATAATACAAGTCGTAGTAACTTAGAAACGCAGGATCATGTTCATCCTAACCAATTAGCTAGCTTTTGAATATAATGTCATTTAACATGATACTAAAGCAAGAAATTCTAAGTTATAACATCTACAAAGTCTCGTCTAGAAACATAATACAAGTCGATCATGTTCATCACCTATTAGCTTAAGCTTTTGAACATAAAAGCTACTAAGTTCTAAGTTCTACAAAGTCATTTCCTTCTCGTTTGATTCCCAATCCATAAAGGGGAGTATTAAGAACATATATATAACATAATCAAATATGCTATATAACATTTCCGTTTAAGCTTGCATTAGATGATGTCTTACCTTCTCTTAAGAGATGTGAAGAGAAAGCTGGAATGTAGCAGATCGTAGGTTCGAGGGTAGGTGTTGAAGGACTCGCACCAGTCGTGGTAGAGACCGATCAATCCTCGGTCAAAAACAATGGACAAAGTATCTGGTACGTCTATGGGGACAACATTCATTACCCAAAGTGGTAGATCAATCAATGCAGCTGCAAACCTGAAATGAGGCAGTTTGTTAAAAGTATGTAATCAAGCTGAAATGATGAGATTTGGACAGAGTTAAACAGCCTGATTGCTCCATCTTTTCTAATTGAACAGGGGTTCTTCCCACATTAGCATATCTTAAAAAAAAAGAAGCAAAATCAGGATCATACTGTAAAGAAGACTTGAAACAGCAAGTTAACCAAATTGCAGATCAAATAAAGGAACTCAATGCTTATATTCATTAGTTGTATATGTTTTACCCTCCATAGCCAGCATTCATATCCAGCACATTTCGGATGCTCGACCAGTTTAGGCCGATGTTATCTCGATAAACATCTGACACAACAGTAGACCAATGTTTGGTATCCTCCAAGAACTTCTCCTCAGAATTTGGTTCAACCGACAAGCTAGGAGGCCTGCTAGTTAGTCTCTCCGGCCATGGCGAAGGCCAATTATAATAGTTGCCTTTGCTATCAACTGGAAGCTGGGAAATACATTTAGTCAGGGGCACATACCTATCCCAACAAAAAAGAAGACACAAAATAAACACGAATACCACAAACTTGAGCATGAAGATATCTAGGAGGGTTAAGACATTTGTGAGAAGAATTTCCAAGAAATACCAAGAACTATTTCTCTTGTTCTTTTCATGGCATATAGGAGGGTCATTTTTGCTACGTTCTTCATAGCAAGATGTCAAGGTGGGCTTCTGATATATTACAAGGCCAACCCCAGATGAATCCATAGTCTTTTGCACTACCTTCCAGCACATTGACTTCGTTAGCAATACCATTTCTGTAAGTTATCAATTCAAACCATTTTAGAAATGTTGTCCACAAGTTACGTGAAACTAAAATATAAATATTGTAACAAAACACGAACCTTTCCAGACATTCTTGTCTCTTTCGTTGTCACGATAAACTGGTGTAGCAGACCATATGAAATATCCTCCAGGTCTGAGAATCCTGTTGAGCTCCAATAATGGTTTTCCACCTATTGCCATAAGAGGGTCAAGCTATCCACAAGAAACCAGTCGATTACGATTGACAAATAAAACTCTATTTATCAAATATTACCATCTGCATCCCAATGGACCCTGCAACGAGCACAATGTATCAAATCATACGCATTGTCAGGAAATGTTAGCCTCTGAGTTCCAATGACTGAGAGAGTTGCGGGAATTCCTCGTTCTAAAGCAAATTGTATCTGTGCTTCATGTTCATCCTTCGGGGCAAATGACATGGTAAGAACATTTTTCTGCAGTAAATACCCACCAAAGCTGGCAACACCACAACCAACATCTAGAATAACTCTGATGTTTTCCCCCCATTTGATATCCGGTAAAGCCTGTTCCAAATTCAAACGAGTGATATAAAATCAAACCGAGATTCATACAAAATTATACTGGCAGAGGAAGATGTACAAACTAGATAGATTATGGTACAAATGCATTTATAGAACTCAATGAAGAAATAAGGGGGGAAAAACACCTTCTGAATGAAGTAAATATAGTGATCAACTCCATCCTTGAACTGTGTACCACCTCCAGGAAAGTTAAGATACTCGTCCAACTTAACAACCCAATGTTGGTCTTTCTTGTATTGAACAAGCTTCGGATGAGGAACATTATCGTACCAAATCTACAACAATAGGATTTTCAATATAATAAATGATCATCACCATGTTTCAATAAGACGAACACAATACTCGCCAAGAAAATCCTAGTTCAGTCCACAAAGACAGGGATAAACGGTAAAGTAAAGCCCTGAAGGTAAATGAACAGAACAGAAACTCCCAATTTCAAAAGAAAATAGAAAGAAAAAATCAGAGAAAACAAACCAACAAAATCCTCTAAAAAAAACAAGATCATCAACAAACCTTGGCAAAGAATCAAGCTCACCATGTCCCTACTCTTGGGCCAGGGAACCGGGACCTTATAACCAATGGGAAGCGGAATCAAACAGCGCGGACTGGGACTAGGGCAATGGCGTTCACGGTGCTCCATGTGCCTCCTCGACTTCAAAGCCTTAATCGCCTTGAAGTTATCCAAGCAGGGAATGAAATCGAAGGCCACAGACCCACCACAGAGCTCCCAGCTGAAATTCGCCGCCGAAGAATTAGAAAAATCAAGATCGTGAGAAAGAACAGAATCTGCAGAAGATGGTTTCAAATCAAGCCGAGAAGAAGGCCGAAAAGAAGAAGAAGAAGAAGAAGAAGGAGAAGGAGAAGAAGAATAAGAAGAGGGTGTTCCAAAATGGGATCGAAGAGAGGAGTACTTTCGAACGAGAGGGTTGAGGGAAAGGGAATCGGTGAAGAAGAGAATCAGAAAGCAAATGAGGAGGAGTGAGAGAGTGAAGAGGAAAGGTGTTCTTCGTTCTTGGAAGAAGCTTTGGAGTGAAATCGCCATTGATGATCAATTGAGAGCGAGAGAAAGAGAATGAATTGGATCAGAGAGAGGGAAAAGTGCGATACAGAGAAGGACGCGGCAACTATTTAACGGATTCGAAATGTCGTTAAAAGTGGACAATGGGAAGGAGAAAACATACACTGCAATGCTCGTACCGATTTTGTCTGGAATCCTTTTTATCTGGACGAATTAAAACACACCACGTCAGCAATGATTGGTGTGGACCCCGTTCTTATATTTAGTTATTTAAGTTAAATAAATATTGAAATTGAGATTTATAATTTATATCAATTATTAGCTCACATTTCATAAATTTTGTTATCAATATCGACAAATTTTGGGTTGTATAAATTAAAATAAATTCCATTTTAAAATTTGTAGTTTGCTAAGAATTAATAAAACTTCTTATATAAATTAAGAATCAAATGCGTTTATAACCTAATAAAAATAAAAAATTTATTTTTTATGAAAATTTTCACTACTTAAATTAAATAATTACAAATTTTAAAATAGAGTCACTGGCTTGCCATAAATTTTAAATTAATATTGCAAACTAAAATTACAAATAAATTGTTACTTTCATATAAATTGGACCAACAATAAAAAAATCACCAATTTTTTTTAGAAAAAATATTAGGTTGTATATGATTTATATATATAGATTTCATTCCAATTTTATATTACATTAATAATAAAGCTACGAATTCTTGATTCTTGTTCATATTGTATATTCAACTATCGGGAAAATGATATTAAATGTAGAAGAGAGACCACATAAATTTTAATTTAAATATTTAAGGATGTATTTTTTTAAAAAAAATTTATATAATTATTTTATTTTGTATTTTCTTTCCTATATTATAATCACATAATCTCTTATTTTATTTTATATTATAAAATTTAGAATTAAAAAAAAAAAAAAAAAAAAAAAAAACTATACTGAAAATGGTATTATCAAATAATATCTGAAACTAATGGTTTCCCAATTTTCCCAATTGTAACAACTCAAGAATAGGCGTCTTACCTCAAAAAAGGGGTTTCCCAAAATTGTGTCAAGAATAGCTCTCGCAACTACAGACCCCTTCAGATCTTCAACTCTCAAGGGGGAAAGATTTACTATGAAAACCTTCTTCTTATCTATATTCCTGCAACAATCTTTACTCAGTGATCCCGGAACCTGCATTCTCGACGTCAACTTCTCCCATCCCTGTGTCTTCCTCTTCCTCACTATCCTCGTCTCCGCTGATTTCTTCGTTGTCTTGTCGTAGCTTCGCCATGTGCTCAGCAAGCAATTTGTCATCTCTTTCACTCACCTATGGTAGTAATTGGACAAGATTGGATGTGAGCTGTGATAGAAAGGATGTAATTGTTGATATTAAAATGTGCACATATGTTGAGACTCACCGCTCGAGGTGCCTCCTTCACCACAAGCTTTCCCTTGTGATGCTCGATCGCCTCGGTGCAAGCAATGATCGCTTTCTCAAGAACAGTGATTCCTTGCTCCTATTCCACAAGAAATAACAAATGGAAAACCATAAACAAAGATGCCATTTGAAAAACATAAAACAAGTAATCCTAGAACTTCATTTTCACCGGTCTACTCCGGCTAATAATTAAACACACTCTTTGCTGCTACTATGAGGTCTTGAAGCACAAGAAGACTCTATTTAGTGTCGATAAATGGGTCTGTGAGACTTTTGTTGCTCTTCACGGTACACTTTTGGACTAATACATGTCAAGTGGCGAGACGTGTTATTCATCAGTATTCCAGATATCTGTTTCTTACCTAAAAATGTTTTCACTCTTACAGATTCAAGACCAATCAAGATGTTTTTTTTCTTTTCTCGTTCGATGTTTCTCTCATTACCAAGCTCATCCCGAAAGAAGAAAGGCAGAGGAGACCCGTTTGATTGGGAGATGTAAGAAATTAAAGGGTAGAAAGGTAACACTAAACAAAAACTGAAAATGATTGGAGATGAAAGAAATTAGAATTCACTAAATTGCAAAATATCCATGCATAACAAACAATAAGGTATCACCTAAAGGGGAGGACTGCACTAACCTTGTCAAGTGTCTGGGTAGTAAGGACGTAGAGTGGAGGAGCAACCAATTTAATTTTAACAGGACAATCATCGTTTCCAACAGCTTCAGCTTTCCGCATTGCTTCCTGCAACGTCGGATGGGTTCGTGTTTTACATTTCTTATGAAACAACTTCAGCTCAAGGAAAACAAATAAAAATCAGAAAATGTGAAAGGAATCAGACAAACACCTTAATGTGAAGAACACCATCAAACTGGAAGCACTTCATCTCGATATCAGCCCGAACCTTCAAGGGTTGGGGAGTCATTCTTCTTCTAATATTCTTTATTAGTGCATCTTTGACATCCTCAGACATTGCGGGAACTACCTTAGTTACCTAAAATACAATATAAAATCAGAGTTCAAGCAAAATTTGAGAGAACAACACTGCAATTTGCATGGACCAAGGCTACCTCCTGTCCGTCGGGACCAGCTTCCTTGACTTCACGGGTAAGAGAATTCAACACCGAGTCAGGGTCAGTTACAATGATCTTGAATGCCTGCACAAAAGAAGGTTAAAGTCCCTAAATTTTTCCAGAAGATAGCCCTTTCTTTTAGGATGCAAAACAGAAACCATACCTCAAAACCGTGACCATATTTCCGGTACAAAGGCCAGCCAACATGGACATACAAGTCCTACAAGAAGAACAAAATCACCTTAGAATTATAATTTAGTATTTTCGACAACCTTTTTCCATTACAAATTAATATAACAGAATATTAAGGTTCCATTTCTTGGAATTAAAAAATGTTTTCCTCCCTTTTCTTTTCTTTTCTTTTTTCTGGGGGGGTGGAATCTGGAAGGAACAAGCACAAGTCAAACTCAACAAGAAAAAACAAATGAGTAGTCCTTTCTAGAACAAAGCAATCTTAGCAATTAAAGGCCATACCTAAAAAGTCACTTCCTTTCACTGTTCCACACATCTCTTAAGTTTTCTTAATGTAGCTCAAAAAGATGCAATACATTAATATATATAAGTGAGACAATAAAGTATGCTTCCGAAGTGCAATATGCAAAGTGCAGTCCAAAACGTTGAACCACTCGATAGCTTGGAGACAAGAGAAACACAAGCATCACTCAAGCAAAGCTAAGAGCATTAGTTTAGAAAATTAGAAGTTAATATAGATCAATGACTAGCAAAGAAAATTAAGACATAAATCAAGAAATATTAATACTAATAACCCAAAATGTAAAGTTTCTCAAACTTATTCTATCCATTCAAAAAGAGAATTGGAAAAACAGATGCAAGAGAGAAACTTAAAAACATATTATTTTAACAGTTTTTGTGTTTCAAGTGTTGAAAAAAAAAGTCTTAAGGCTTACACATTTTTGGATTCATAGGAGCTAACAACTTCATGAAAATGCACTCGAGAAAAGTCTTTGTTCCATGTGCCTCACAGAATTATAATATCAACTTAGTGACTATTCTTAAAAATATAAAAGTCCAAATATGGATCTAAGATAAATACAATGAGGACAACGTTCACAGTTTGACGTCCCCAGCTGATTTCTCAAAGAGGGTCAATTTTGTTCAAAAAAGGGCATTCGATTGCTGTTGGAAGAGAACAAATAATATAGGGACTGGGATCAGAGAGAGTGAACGAAACCTAATTTATATCAAGGGAACTAATCATGAGTGTCCTAGTTTAAACCCAAGAAAATGGTGATTGCCATGTCGTAATGATCACAGCATGCCTCTTTGCACAAGGAATGTGCACACTGCCCACCCCTCACCTATCACCGCATCCAAGTGCTCGAGGTCATCGCAACGATATTGAGTAACACGACCTTGGCTAGTTTTAAGCCATTCACCAATTGGTAAATACGCAGCCCTTTTATCCAAACATTCTCAATATTGTTAACCCAAGAGAATTGAATCCAACTAAGTAGACAAATTTGCAACAAAGAAAAGGGGAAACTCCTATGTAAATTTATGAATTTTTCTATGTAATGTACACACACCCAACTAATCAACAATATGAACCTCCAATATCTGTTTGTTGCCAAGACGCTCATAGAATTTTTAAATCAAAGGTGGCCAGCATAGAATTGAACCACACCCTAAAAGTACTTCACCTCTTTCCCTTTCCCAATAATCAAAATGCCAATTCAGAGTGGATGTACGTAAAATACCCAGTAACACAAACCAAGAAAATGCACGAAAACAACTTCAAACATCAAGCAAGAAGCTATAACTTCAAGAAACACCTAAAACAGCCATCAATAATTCTCAAAGTAGCCATAAAAAGCCAGAGAAAAAAAAGGATACCTCCAAATCAATGTTCATAGTCTCAGCAACATGGCGCATTATAGAGTGAACAAGCTTGCTCTTGTTATACCTCTCCTCACAGGCCTGAATATCCTCCTCAGACACCCTTCTCTTACTCAAATCAATATAGCCCTTCTCCTTGTCGACCCTGAGGACCATGACAGGCTCGATTCGTCCAACCTTAATTAAACTGCTAACACTACGAATACGACGGCGAGAGAGCTCGGAAAAGAGAATCATACCCTCGATGTTGTTGTACTCAAGGAGGGAGACGTAGGCGCCCATGTCGGCGATGTTCTTGACCTGGATCATGACGGCCATGTCTACCTCCGGGTACTTGGCTTCGTACATCCGACACTCAAGGTTAGGGGAATGGGAAGCCATGGTTGAGAGATGGGAAGGTCTGAGAGAGTTAGAAAGATTCCTGTGACAAAAAAGGGTTTAAGGGGACGAAATGGGGTTTTCTTTTTGGCCAAATTTAGGGCTATGGTTAGAGAGAGAGAGAAGCTTGATTTTGGCTCGAAGGAGATAGAGATTCTGACAGGCGGAGAGAATGGCAATCTTTTGGGGGGCATAGTAACGGAAATTACAAGAATTTGAGGGGGTTTAGTGCAAAAATGAAAAACTAAAGAATAAAACAAAAGCGTCGACAGCAGGATTCGAACCTGCGCAGGCAAAGCCCAACAGATTTCGAGTCTGTCTCCTTAACCACTCGGACATATCG